AATAGCATGAATTAATCATCTGCTAACAATAAATGACAAATTTATGATTTGAAATAAATCGAAGAAGTAGTTTGAATTGTTGAATTACCAACAGTTCCTGATCTAAAATCAGTTAATCGATTTACTCGATATCTCCTGGCTTTCGAAGTGAGATCATTTTGTTGGATTAAATGATTCCACTTCTCGACACTTTTCGAAGTGGAAATGACTGAATATGTAACTTAATGAGTACCACGCAAAAATTTAGTGTATTGATAAATTTTTACATGAAATGACATATACATTTAATAGAATAAACAGATCATCGATAGAATAAATGCATTTAATAGAATAAATCAAATACATTTAATAGAATAAATCAAATACATTTAATAGAATAAATAGGTTTAACTTCAAATTGTCACATCATCAACTATTTTAGTCTAAGCCTGCTGCAAAAATTGCAAAATTGGATGTCAAACAAAACCTGAAACCAGTTCACCGGACACGGCCAGTAAATCCACCTAAGAAGCCGAACGAATTACCACTGGAAAATCGCGCTTCTCGACTTAAAGCTGAATATTTAGCAAAGAAACGAGCTGAACAAGGTGGAAATTATTAAGGCAAACTATTTAATAAATCAAGTGAATTTTATCAAATTGTACATTTGACAATTAATATTTATTACGATTTCAAATGGAATTTGAAAATGATTTTTAAATTTCAGTGTTTATCTTCGAAAACGATTTTACCATTTGATATTCTGCTTGATAAATATGCTTATCGTAGATGATTTTTCGATTGCTTACAAAACATGATGAAATAGATGATAATAAATGATTAATTTAAATGAAACATTTCATTTCATTTTATTTACTGATTAAATTGCATGAATAATTAATAGTTTTAATGCAAATAAGTTGGTGTAAATTAAAATTTCCAGTTAGCTTAACAAATCTTTTTTTATTTTTAATAAAAATTAAATTGATCTTTTTCAATGTTAACAAGTTGATGAATAAGGAGAAATCACTTCTAATATGAATAAAAAAATTTTAACTTTCTAACTTGCTCAATCAATTTCTCCGCCATAATTTTTATAATTTTTACTCCAGCAAAAAAATTACAAATGATGAAAAGCGAAAAAATAACAGTTGATCGTTTATCAGTGATGCGAAAATTGTAAGTTTAAAACAAATAATTTTTTCTCTAAAAATATAAAAATATTTTAATGTTTGCAATAATCAAAAAAGAGCTTATCATTTCAGTTTATCATTCGGTTCTAAGAGTGTCGCAAAATCGGAAAATGCCAAGAAATCAAATATATCACCACGCTTAAATGTCAGTAATCAAACCAGTACTTTTGAGAAAAAAATATTATCACCGATTAGTGAAATATCAACTGCTGCTGAAAGATTGCAAAGACTTGAAAATATTTGATATATGAAATTAAATTACTTAATAAATCGCTGACAAATTAATTTTTGGAATTTGTTAAGTAATTTCTGCACGAGAATATTGATAATAAAAATTGAATATTATTACCTTTAATTTTTTCCGCAATGTTTATAAAATATGCAAATGAATATGGCTTATTTTTTTGACATGGGTGAAAAGAATTAAATCAATCACTTCCGAGAACCTGAAATTATCTTTTTTTTGGCCAAAAAAAATCAGTTGGCCATAAAATGAAGCATAGCTAGTTCCAAACATTCGTTTTTAGTCACTTTTTCAATTGTTTACTCGATTACTTAACTATATATTCATTTATTAATTGATATGCTCAACTTACTGATTAATTATAGTTAATTGCTTATTTGCTTACATACCACTCATTTATGTACATTTACTATTTCTGAATACTGATCTTTCCGTTTATTAATCCATTAATTTATGAAAGTAATTTACTCCTTTTAATTCATCAATCTACTAGGTCATTAATATCATTTGCTAATATAATATCGAACTCCTCATTTACTAGGTCAATCAAAAGCAACAATTTACCAATTTGTATCAGCTTATTTGCTAATCATGCTTAAATATCTGATATCAATCCATCTATCAATTTATAAAATTATACATAACTTGATTAGTGAATCTGTCAACTTCTTCACTAATATATCCATTTTTTATTCGTCCATTGATTTGCTACTTATTTATAATTTTAACACATACTTCCTTGCCAGCTTATTTGTCTATTAACTTATGTACTTGCTTATCCACCAACTTATTAATTATTTGTCAAATTGCTCATTTATAAAATTAATCATTTATTCATCAACTTACTAATTTATTACTAATTTATAGCTTTTATTTACGTAAAACTGCTTTAAGCGAAACAGGGATGAATGATATAAATTCTTCTCATTAATTAAGTTCAAATTTTAATGTTAAATTTATTTCTTAGAGATTGATTAAAAAAGGAAAAGGATTTTCCGTCATTATACTAGAAAACGTAATATCAATAAATAAAAATTAAAGTTGTTAAGTGCGAAACTTTTCATTATCACACGTAATTTTCATCACTGCACGTAATGTGCTCTCATATCGATTGCTTGATGAGGAGGGAAATGATGGGAATGGACGCGAAGAATACTGAAGACAGTTTACGTGATCTTTTTTGTCTAAAGAAAAAAAGAACCAACGCAAATAACCCAATAAAAGCCACGAATACCAGCGCACATTTCATTCCTCTTTCTTCTCGTTTTCCGGATTCCCAAATGACTACCATTATTGTTAAAAATGCAGTTTGCTTTTTCTGTATATTATACATACCAAATATTACGTATATTTTATTAAAAATACAATTTTAACATAACATTCATCATTTTAAGAATAATTTTAAGAATGTGAATTGTACGAAATGATTTCTCTCTTATTTCTTGTACGTAAATGAAATGTTCAGTTTTATCATTTCAGGTTTTGTGTGGAAAGAAATTAACTCGAAGAAGCGTGAAATGCATCGACAAATGCGTTACAGGCATGAATACTGGTCACCTTATAGCAATGAAATACAATGGCTTAATAACACTGAATTACAGGATGAATATATGGTTAGTGCTATGATTAGTTTTAGCTCACGTAATCAGTAAATAGTAGTGAATTTTAGTTTTATCCTTTCGATTTTCACCGACTATTCGAATCAGTTTTGTTTTAATAGTCTCTAATAGTAACACTTTTAACAGTTTCATAATATATGATAAGTGTAACAATTTTAAAATACAAAATGAAAAAACAGCTTTGGAAACAGTTCGACTAATTTAGTCCAGTTAATTAAGTATCAGTAATTTCTAACTTTAGCTGTGAGCATCTGATAGTACATAAAATGAATAGATTGCTCTCATTATGATCAAATATTGGAATAAAAAGACCTTACACGTTGTTATTCGATACACACCGCTCATATATCATTATACATTTTATTCATTAATAAATTTTGTATATTGATGCAGATTTTGTATAAGATTGTTATTGAATTTAATATCATACTAATTTTATTAATGTTGTTTGGGATTTCCTGGCAAGCGACCTGATTGTTATTTAGGAAAGACTCAATGTATATAATCGAATAACCGACTTCTTTTATCGCAAACGGAGACAAATTTTTGATCAAGGTAAGCCTTCTATTTCTTCTGTGGAGCTGATAGATTTCAATTAACTGATTGCAAATTACTCCCCAAAAAACAATTGTGATCAATGTTTTCGCGCTGAAATTCGCAAAAGCCTCTCTTTGATAGTTACGTCATCTATCATATCGCCCATTAATGTCTGCTTTTTATGTATATTAAAATTGTAATAAATATCGCTCAAATTAATAACGTGCGATACTTTAGCACGGTATGCGGAAGCGATGCGAATCAGAAGAGCGATTAACGTAGGAACACCTCTTGGGATGTTCCAAGTGCTCCCACGAGAATTGCTTTATAATTTATTTGATCGTATACCTGGTTTATCTTTTTTCATCTTTATTAATTAATTCTACTGCATTTAAAAAAAATACTGAGTTCAATAACAGATGTGTTCATCATCGCAGTTGCTGTATTATATATCTAATAATTCTGATCATACGCGGAATGCTATCATATTTAAAAGTTTCAGAAAAATATACGTAATTTTTCAGTTAAATTTTTGCTGCCTGTTAGTTTGACGTCGAATACCTTCAACAGCGAAGTTCGGCGCTATTTGTTACTAGAAAGTGCGCATCAAAAATTTTTGGTTGAAACCGCTACATGCGTGGAGGGAGGCATTTTTGATGTCGACCCGTTTTATTCATGGGGTTAGTTCTCGTAATTAAGAAGTGTTTGTCGAAATTTTTTTTTTTGTTGCTAAGCTGTTTTTATATTTCTTAGGTATGTTGTTGAAGGCGAGCACAATTGTTATGAATTCTCGGAAGCGCCGTTCTTTCTTAGCTTCTTTCTTCTCCAAGGTAATGCTTATTAATCACTTTTAACAAGCTATTGTCTCGCCCTCTAAAATTATTTGTTGATTTCCAAGAGTTTTCAGAATGAAGAAATAACAAATTGGCCTGGATGGGGTCGCTGCTTCATGGCGGTATGTTCAGAACAGATCTCGAGAAAAGAATAAACTCGGAATCAGCAATATTTACCACAATATTATGGAAACTGATGTTTTATAGGAATGCCAAGCCACAACTCATTTCATATTTCAGTACACAATGGCTTACATCTTAAAGCATTGCAGAATTACCGTTGTATTTATAAATGATTACGACGATGTCATAAAAAAAGCAGAATATATTTAAGATAGAAACATTTTTATTAATTCAGTAAAACAGTTTTCTATTAATTCAGTAAATTTAATCTTTTTAGCAGTAAAAAAGTACTAGAAATGTAGAGATAGAATTATGGTGGTAGGATTGTCAGAACTGAATGTTTCTATATCTATTTCTCGTTATAGTTTTGTGAAAAATGGGATTTTCACGAATGTGAAGAGTTAATGCATGTGATTCTACATTTTACTGAATTGAATCAATTCCTGCATAAAATTTTGTCTGAAAAAATTGGAAAATATCCGTCACTGGAAATGCAGGTATAAAATTTTATTTTATGCCTAGTTAGATTCAAGTTTTGCAGACAAGAACTTGCGTATTACATATCGTAACACCTTATCTTGTTTATCTAATTATCGTGACGTTAGTTATTTTACCTCTTTTGGTAATGTAACTGAATATCAAAGAGACTTTTTTTGCTATTTTTAATAAATATGGTACAGAATGTTGTAATATAATGCCTTTTTACGATTTTAAGGTTCGAGCACGTCTTCGAGCTTTGTTTTTGAGTCATGCAGCAAAAGATGGGAGAGATTATGGATTCTGGATTTCTGCCATTTTACGTACACAGAAAACAGTGGAGCTTCAGGGAAAATTATTTATGGTCATGTTTGGACCAGTAAAGACAACTGAAAATGAACGTAAGTGCTTTTCATGATTTTAATTTTTTTAAATTTAGCCCGAAATTTTAAAACTAGATAATTTAGTAAAAAAAATTTAGCAATAAATATTTTTGTAGTGACTTTCAAATATATGGGCTCATATATATGCACCTATAGAGTTTCATGTTATATTATAAGAAAAAATCATTGCAGAGATTATTGATTGGGAAGTTTTATGTGATGGTAGTATTAGTTTGCGACACAGGTATATGAAATTGTTGGGTTCGATAACACTTGGTTTTCATCACTTGGCAAATACTTCAAGCCTTAAGCGCTATGCATGGACTGATTATCAAATTTTTACTCTATTTGAACAAATATCAAGTTAGTTGAATCTCTTCAAACAAACCCGTTTGATTAAAAGTTGTTCTAAGAAGGAATCAGTCAACAAAAATTTGATTTAATACTTTTTAGAGATTCCTAACACATGGGCATTGCACAACATTGCTATGTTGCTTATTCTCCGTCCGAAATTTATTCACAAAACTTTATTAAAGCTATTGGCACAAGGAAGAACGAGTGATGCAGCACATCTTTTTCATGCTCTTAAGACTGTTCGTACAGTTTCTTTTTTTTAATCAAAGTGATGAGTATGGTTCAAATCACAACAGCTTTAGGTGCATTCCAATGAAATGTCCATTATATGTTGATCGAATGGATGACAATGTTACTTATCGATATTTTGGAGCTTTGCTTATTCAGCTCCTAATTCTGAAATTTTCTATATGATATCATCAGTTATTGAGCGAGTCTGTCAGGCAGATTTAACACTCAGTTTTTCATTTTTGCATCGAAGATCTAAACCTTCCAGGTCTTATATGATTGGGGAATTTTGGTCAGCGCAGCTATGTCCGACGTAATGCTCGAAACATTTCGAGATTTATCGCCGATCGATCGTCGATTGTTCTTGGGTTCAATACTTAGAACAGAATCATATCAGCTTTGTGAATTACTTCTCAGCACACCGTGTATGTGGTCCATTTCATAATTTTTATTTCAAATGGTTCATAACTTTATAAGACCCTCTTCAGTTACTTTTCTTTATTACCTGGCCTATTTATTAATTCGCTTAACAGCTACGATCTTTCTGCATCAATAAAATTTAATTTTAATCCATTGATGATAGATAAATCATAAAATTTTTTATCAGAAAGCTTAGCGGATTAAAAAAGAGCTGAAATTTAATTTCATTGATACAAAATCGATAAATAGCAGTCATGCCGTATGATATGGAATAATAATAAAAGAGGATTTTACGAAGTTATTAACTAGTTAAAAGTCATATAAAGAAGCTAAAGTTGAATAAGAACGATTAAAATAACGACGAAAAAATAAAAAAAAGACCAAAAATAGAATAGTCCATATGGCACAAAATAATAATTAATTATGTTGTCAGTTTTTTTTATTTTCATGTATTTTTTCTGAACTATTGATATTACTTTTCTTAAGTTCTGATATGATTACCGATTGCATTTTGGTTTAGTTTCTCTTTGGGCGGAATTCATTTAATCGTTTATATTTCTCAGATATGATTGCAGTTGATGCTGAGAGCTTCCATGATGAACTCTCTTGCGCACGCTCCATATCAGCGCTGATGGAATTACTGGCAAGGAATATATGAAGCTAGAACAAGTTCAACATCACTGTTTCCAGCACATTCATTTTACAGCACTGTAATTGTTCTATTATAACTTTTATTAACCTGAATGATTTTCCGATGGATTAGATGGAATAATGTAGGGCAAATGTAAAATAGCAAAATCTGCTTTAAATAAGATTAATTCAGATATCTAGATAACAGCACAAATAAGTTAAATATAAAAGAGCAAAACCATTTGATGAATAAAATGGCTATAAGATTTCTTTTTAGTAATCAGCAAACAGATCAATAATTGATTAAAATTTTCAAATTATTTTTATGCTCCCAAAAATTGGGAAAGTAGTAAACTTCCTTACATTTCTTTATTTTAAACAATTTATCGACGATTTATCGATTACTATTTCAATCTCTCCCACTCTATAATACTAAAATTTTCACAAAAATTCCATACTGCTATGCATTCTGTCTGTTAGCAGAATGATTTTAATTCTACCTATTTACTGTTCCTCCCCTATTTGCCTTTATTTCAATTCAGTTTTCATTTTACCTGTTTGTTGTTATGTATTTGGTTATCTTTATTTTTTTTTTTTCAATTTTCACTTTACTTGTTTACTCTTATATATGTGGTTACCTTTATTCATATGGTAACGTATGTTTCTGCTCGTTTACTGTCATAAAAATATCATTGATAATGATAACTCGTAAATGATCTCTTTCAATATTAAATGTAATGCATTGAAACATATTTATCAAGATGTGGTTTTTTAGAGTATTTTTTGAATATAAATTGCATTATTGCACGGAAAAATTGTCAAAGAAATCATGAGCGAAGATCAAAAGAAACAAATATAATGCTGTTAATTAATGAATATGAAGGTGGGAAAATTGGAATTTGAATGAGAAATAATGCTTATTTGTTGTCAGTGGAAGTTGGGGAGTTTGGTTGTTATCGTCAAGTACTTGGAGATTTTTTCTAAAACTGATTTATAAATGAATCCAATTGTTTAGCAATGTCTATATAGTGGGAGTAAAATGGAACTGGATCTTTAAATTCGAATTTTTTTAAAAATTTTTTTAAACTTCCCTAACATCAATAGGTGTTAGTTTCATTAAAGCGAAATATTAGTGATTTTTGTAAGATAATGGATTTTTGGCCAATTTTGCTGATGATGACACTTTAATTTTACGAATTTTGACTTTTTCAAAGCTAGCAGTATTAATGCCAAGGGAAGCTTGCGAATTTTGTCGACGGGCTAGAGCTCGACATAAAACGAGGAAGAAAGCTGGAGCCTTTTGGTACTGCAGTCGAGGATTGAATCGTGTAAATTGGAGGCAGAAAACTACAAAATCCTGTCACAGATCACCGGTATGTATGTGATATGATCGGTTGGTTATTATTTCAGTATAAGACTTGTACTTCATTTTTATAATAGTGCTACCTAACAATTTAGTTAAAGTTTGCAGTTTTTTATCTTGCAGGCAATGTTGGTAATGCGTGACGAAGAGCATGGAACTAATGAAGTTGATAAGCAAAATGAATTTACAAATAATCCTACGTTGAAAGCTCTGATCGATTTATTTAAAAAAGAAAATGAGGTCGAAGAAGGTTAAATGTTTTTACTTCTTTACTCTATACTGGAAGAAATGCTCAAAAGCAGTTATTTTAAAAGATTGCTTATTGATTTATGAAAATCTAAAATTAGTTTTTATAGGCCAGAAAAATGACTATAGTTGTACATAAATTAAATTTAGCGAAATGTTTTCCAGTGTTTTCTCCAAAAGATAGTGCAAGTGTGCTGTCAGAATCTGTAAATAATGTTGAAGCTATTGACGAGCCGCATGTTTTGACTCATGCTACAAATCAAGTGTCGAAGGAAGCAGTTTCATTCACTGGGTCCAGATCAGCAGAAAAACCTAACTTAACACACTTCAAGGTTGTCCTTATTCGTTTCAACGACTATTTATCAAATTAGCACATTTCAGCTTTTTTTTATTCTGTGATAGGTTTATGGTAGTAGTTATAGTGTTGAACTTTCCGCTGATTGTAAGAATGCATGTTACTGCATAGTTATATAAAAGTTTCAATAAGCGTTTTCTATTTCATCTATTGATAATTTACACAATAATGATGGATTTTAGGAATGGATAATAAAGATTAAGAATGAAATTTTCAATTTCAATAAAAAATTTTCTAGATTGGTGAAATAACACTTCAGCAATGTGTGGATTTGTTGCAGTCACTTCCGACTTCCGATTAGTGTATGAAAAACGGCCCTCGATTATGATATATGATGTTGCAAAATGTATGGCTTTGTAATTTTAATTATATTTTCTGTATAATACAAAAAATATCATATATTCTTTTTGTAACTAATCGAATGATAATAAGAGAACTTGTTGACATCACAGAATTGTTAATCGCTGAGCTTGACAGCACTTAAATCAAATTACTAATTTCTAATAATATGCCATCTTGTACGCTACTGTATATAGTATAATACATATATTCTTTACTACATTTTACTACAGTGCACAAAGAAAAAAAAAACAATACGAATGAACAGTATAGCAAAACTTAATGTTACTATTCATGAATAGTATGCGTCGAGGTGACAAAATCATCCTTTCAGTCGAAAACCGTATATATATATCGTCGTGCGCTTGGTGGCACAATTCGTTTTCCCGTGATGGAATCGTAATCTATAACATCATCGTCCGATAACGTACTGCTTCCGCTTTCCCAATCACTATGTCTTTCCAATCGTACTGGTTGTTCATCAACTCTTTGGCCGGTCTGGATACATTTGTCTGCACGATTTGGTCTGGTTTGCGTTATCCTAAAAATATGTAAGCTTATATAAATTAGAACGATTATATGAGCATATAATGCAAACAAAATTGGACCCCAAATATTTTTTATGACTAAAAATCTACTATTAAAGTATGATAACGATTTAATAAATTAGACTAATAAAATGCTGGATATTATAGAAATATAAGGAGCGAGAATTTTGTGGATAAAACTGTAGTCTTAGAGATAATGGCTGACAAAATAGATTAAGTCATCAAAATATTTAAGTATTCCTTAGAAAGCCGTCCTGATAATGTATAAAATGTTTAAAGCGGTGCAAAATTAGGCTTGATAAAGTTTTGAAAAAACAAGATACTTAACAAACTTCAGTTACCTTATTGTTTTTCAGCTTTTTTATGATTAAACTATTTTATTTATTATTGGACTAACCTGTTTACCATAGAACTTCTCTGTCTCCATCTATCTTCGAGAAGTTGCTTTTTATGTTCATCCATTGCTATATAAATAAGACGATCCTGTATTGGTTGTGCTTCACAGAGCCTCAAATTTTATTAATTTTAATGATTTTATGATTTTTGATCTCTGAAATACCATACTTTTTCATCATTGATTACTTTTTGATTACTTTTTCATCAATGCATTACAAGATCAAACATCTTTTACAGTAAATTAACAACACTTCTTATTAAATGCATTACAAGATTAAATATCTTTTACCTTTCGTAAAATGCGCTACATATTCCAAAAGATAAAAACTTTCCCTTATATTTCTTTACCAAATGTTTTTGCTGCTCCTATCTTAACATTCACCAGGGTGAGAGAGATAATTGAATAATACATGAAATAGGTAACCTTTTAACACCTTCTTTCTCATCCGGTATGACAGTCATTGTAGCGACATCCGGATCAATCTGTCTTATTCGATACTGGCTATCGATTGAACGAATCATCCGGTCAAAGATCAAACGAATTTTTGCCTGATAACAGCGAAGTTTTAGTCCTTTATTTGAGATTTCTTTTTTATTGAAATCTCACTTTAATTTGCTATGATTTTTCACTTTATAAAAAAAAGGAAAAAGATGCACAGATGAATACGATGCAATTTTATGTTACCTTATCATTTACGAAGAGAAGAGTGATTAAACAATTCTAAAAAAATTTTCAAATATTGATTTTAATAAATTCATGGTTGAAGAAGTGACCTGTACAATGGAAACGCATAAGCCAACTACGGAAAGGCCGATCATTGTAAGAGCCAAATTGAAAATAATATAGTTTGGTGTCTCTGTGACGACATCACCAAGTCCTGGAACTTTTCGAGTAACTTTCATAAGCATATGAAGATAATTCATTTCAAGATTTTTACTCGTACGATACTCTGATTTTTTTTTAATTTACAAGTAAATTTGAATTCTTTAACTAGCTTGTGGTGCTTTTAATCTATGCTTTGATTAGTTTCCAATGTTTCTAATCACATATTTTACCTATTCAGGTAGCAAAACCTATTTCTTTTCTATTATCTGTATGTTATTTTCAATTGATCATACCTCTGACAACTTCGTTTTCTTTTAACTTTTTGTAAAAAAAAAAAAAAAATTTTTCTTGAAATGCGAACCAATTGTAGTAAGTGAAGTGAAGAAGTAGTAGTAAGCGGTAAAATAAGTCCAATTAGTTTCCCAAAGTCGCACCACAAAAGCACTGATTACAATCCATAAAAAGAAAAATATGAATGCAGCTTTAAGCGGTACAGTACGTTGTTTCTCCTCTTGGCTGAGTTCAATTGGTAACTGTGATATTTTTTTACCACTTTCTATCTGAAATACAACCGTTAAACCTATTAAATGTGTGCTGATCAATAAGACTTGTTTTCAAATAATTGTTAACAAAAAAATATGTAATTCATTTCTTGAAAATATGCAAGAAAATTAAAAAATATTTTCAATCCGAAATAAAAAACCTGTTGAAATTCATTCTTGAAAAGGAGAAACTTTCGAAGTTAATTTTTGATGAAAGTTTAAGTGAAATCTTACTGAAAATGCAATATGAGAACAGAAAAAGATAGTGGAAAAGAAAGAGAAGTAGAATTAATTATTGGTTGATTTTTTGATATGATAGTGCTTAACTCAAAATTGATGAACTTACCTGATGGTCAGTCTGATGAAGGTCATCATGGGTGTGAGATAATTGGATTAACGGTCCAAGTGATGTCAATCTAAGTGATAAGTCACTTCCAGCACGACGACTTCTAAAATGTATTTAATTTTTTTCTTTTTTCCTCACAACTAAGTAAATATAGTTTTAAAAAAAAAAAAAAGCTTTTATATGTTTTAGGGAATAATAAGAGCTCGAATGAATTAAATAATGAATAATTTGACTGCATATGCTGTTGATCCTTGTCGATCCTCTTTTTCATTGTTTCAATTAATTGGCGTGCTTTAGCCTTATTTTTTCCTTTCTTTATTATCTTAATTGATGACAGCCATTTTAAGCAAATTCTGGATGAAAAAACAGATGAACTTTTTTCCACAAAAAAATAAAAATAAATAAATTTATGTAGAAAAAAAAATAAATAAATAATGAAAAGAAATGAACTTTTCTTTCTCAAGGCGTTTACTGTGATGTTTCTTCATCGAATTTGAACATAATTTCAAATTAAACCATTTCCAAAACATATCCAACCATGTATAGTACAGAAATCCCCATTCCAGAAGAATTGTAAAAACTAATGGTATACCGCAAAATGCATAAATCATCGATATTATACGACCAGCACGTGTTGCGGGATGAAAATTTCCATAACCTAAAGAAAAAAGTATTATTCTTTTTAATTTATTATGACATAAAATTTATTAATTTCAGTGCATTTCGATTACTGAAATAGTATGATATTAAATATTATATCATACATGTAATATATATAAACAAATGGTTGATATGGAGAAACTTATTTGAAATTTTTAAATTTGAGTACCTAAGTGCTGTATATTTAGTGCAACATTGAATTTATCTCAATATTTAATTAAAATAAATAAGTAGTCCGCTTTACACAAAAATTTATTTTAGTTTTAAAAAGAACTCTTTAAACGAGTATCAAATTGGAAATTCTTCATTTTTATCGAGAAAAAATAATTACTAGTTAAGTAATATAAAAAGAAGCAGTTAGTTAGCTATACATTTTTTATTGCTAGAATTTTCAAATTGTCAATTTACAAGAATTTAATACTTCTAAATTTAGCAGAATTTTCATATTATTGATATACATGAATTTAGAAGACATTTGTAAATTTTCAATTTAACAATGAATATTAATTTAAGAGGCATTTATAAATATTAACAGAATTTAAGAAATATTTACAAATTTCAATGGAATTTGAGAAACAATAATAAATTTGAATAATGCTTGAATAATATCAATTAATATAATACATACCAATAGTAGTGTATAAGCTAGCTGAATAGTAAACACCGCCCCAAATATTCCATTTTGTATCCTCCATTATTGGTTGCTTAATTTCGATTCCTAATTCTCGTTCATACCAACTGAATACATCACTGGCACGTCTGATTTTTTGATTTTCTGCCTCTGATTTGCTGATACTTTTATTTTGCATATATAATTCATCTCTCTCAATTTCCCATAATTTCCTAAATTATTTATTAATAGTAATTTTATTTGTTCTTTCTTTTTTTGTTTGTTTACCTTTTATTTACCTAACAAATTTAATTATTCTTCAAAATGAAAGTATTGAAAATTTTTTGTCGTTTTAGAACAAAATTATTAGCAAATTTTAATTTATGAACCAATTAATACAATTAGTTTATGAACGTTTTAAAATGAAATTATTCATTGATGTTAGTGCAAAAACAATTTTTTACTTATTTTTTCACCTTTTTTTATCTTATCAAATTTAAATTAATCCATTTACTTTATTGGGGCGGAGAGGGTGAGGAGGAGAAATGATATGTTATTGATTAATTGTATTGTAATGAAATATACGAATATATTAGTTATTTAAATGTAATGATAAGTAAATCGGCCAATTTCAAAATCATTTTTTATAGATTAGAGATATTTTAGAAAGAATACCAATGCTTTTACCAATTATTCCAGCAGACAATAATTTATTGTGTTAAATGATTTCAAATATGTCATTGTTCATTCTATATTACAATAATACGTATCATTGATTAATAATATTAAAAGACAAATGGACAATTACCTTTTTTAAATCTTAAACCGTAAATAAGATTTAAAATAGAATTTCATTTAATCTTCAAAAATTTGCATCAGTAAAACTATTTATTACTAACAATGGTTGTAAATGCATACTTGAAAATTTTTATTTGATATGATTTGCGCTTTTCATAAAGATCCATGTCATGTCTATATTTTATCAGAATTTGATTTTTATCGTTGTTACCTGAAAAAAATTGAATCAAGCAAAA